GAGGCGGGGTGGGCAGCGGCCACAGCGGGCCCGCGGGGGAGCAGAGAGCGGGCCGCCGGCTGTCAGCAGGCGCTTGGGGCCGATTTGCCAAGTTTTCGGCCGTTAATCTTTTTTAACACGGTTTCGCATTTAAATAGGAATCGTTGTGCGACAGTAACGTGAGGTGAGGGGTGAGGGGAAGGGCACTCCTTAACCTAATTAACAAGGAGGTGCTTGGGGAGATTAACTACATAATATACTTGAGTTTTGCGGCTTAAGTTACTCAGGTGTAAACTGGTTTTAAATCTGTTTCGATGTAGTACAGAAATAACTCTTTCTAGCCATCGTGTTCTTTAACTGGAAAGCCCAAATGGCTCCCTGTACTCTCACCCTTAAACCCAGCAGGCCGTGGTGGAAAGCAGGGGGTTAAGTGTTGGGGGTTCACGCTGTGCCTTATCCCTTTGTGCTTACATATTGCAAAAGGTACCCTCTTAACCTCGTCTTTCAGTGCTTGCGGCCCCAGCAAACGTATTGCTTTGTGGCTCTCCCATCGTGGATTTGAAGCTGGGAGCCACGCTCAGCGTTGATACTTCAGCAAAATGCGCAGCCAGGGCTCTGCTAATTGTACAGAGAGTCGTTCAAGGTGTCTGCACAAGCACCGTCATCCTTCTCGCAGGGAGCAGCAGGGCTGACGGCATCCCGGTACCCCAGGCTTGCCAGGCGTGTTAGCGCAAGCTGCTTTCGCTGGGGGTTTAAACGGCAGCCCCAACCTGCGCTGCTGAGGCGTGGGGCTGTGCTGTGGTCCGCTACCACTGCTGCGGGCAGCAGTGAGCTCCAACAGCCCGCTGGTAACATCTTAGCCCCGCTCAGCAGGGCGAAGGGGTGGGGGGAGGTTTTGCGACCGGCCCTGCTTGCTCTCACTCGCATTAGTACGATGGTGTGTGCGAGCAGGCGCTAAGGGTCGTTCGTGTGGGTTGGGCGTTCCTGTTCTGACTGCGGGCAGAGGTGCAAAGCTGAGTTTATAGCTGAGTGTGCCCGAGTCTCTGCTTCCTACAATGAAGCATTTAAGAAGGAGGGACCAAACGCGCCTAAGTTTGCTTTTGTGAACTTAGTTTGCTTCCCTACGTTTAAGCTATGGTGCAGGAGTCTGAGTTCATGCTTTCACCTCAAGACCCGCAACTCAGGTAATGTGTGGGAACGAACTTTTGACTGCAGCATCTTGTAGGAATCGGAAGGTGTGATGCAAATGAGTTGGGGTTGCAGGGGAAAAGAGCAGCCTTCCTCTGAGGCTACCCTGGATCCATGCAGTTGTCTGATTACATGAGAAACTGACTGAAAACATGTGCAACACACAGATGAGTAAGAAAAGTGTGCGTGGTTCTCGGATCCCGCAGAGGAGGCAGCGGAGGGAGGGAGAGAGAGTAGAGCCATGCTTTGAACAGCAGCTTGCAGTGAGTTCACATTTAATAAGGGGCTGTGAAATGGTATGATTAAATCATGTCCCTTCTTCTGAAGGTGATTATTAGAGTCTAATGAGATTATTTTGATCGCTTTCACTGCCGGTCATGAACTGTGTGTAGTTTCTGAGTCGTAAGGCTGGTGGTGTGATTTACAAAATCATTGATCATTTAGGGCATGGTTACGTGTGCTTTTTTTTTTTTTGGATGGCAATTTTCTGGGCATTTTTTTTCCTGCATTTCCCCTGTTCACAGATGGTTGAACAGATGCAACTAGCAAGAAAAGGTAAGAAGTAATCTTGAGAGCCACAAACAATTGTACTGGTTTGAAGAAATGTTTAGTTAGGTAGTGAATAAGGTGGGACGTGGATGGGTTGAGAAGAGCTTTGAGCAGCTTTGCTGCTGTAGAAGATTTCCATGAAACCAAGGCTATAACCTGCCTGAGAGCAGTCACGTTTTCCTCAGTGGGAGAGAAAGACAACGTTTCTGGTTTTTGTCTACTCTTCAGTTTAAATGCAAAAAGAAAAATCACATCCTGAACTCTTTGGAAATAAGTGTAAGATGCTAATCTAGATAAATTTCTTCTGTGCTTAAATTGGAACCATATAATCTGAATTTACCATGTCGTTGCTGATTGCAGTTACTAAACTACTTTGTTTTTAGGTAACTATAGGCCGAGGATTAGATGTCACGTACCAGCTGGTGTCAAAAACCTGTCCCTTGATGATCTCTCGTAAGCACTGTATTTTCCAGCAAAATGCGGACGGGCAGTGGACTGTCAAGGATAACAAGGTACAGAGACCAATTAAAGACCGTGTACTCAGAGGTTCACTGAAGAGAATGCCCTCTTTGGGCTCAAACAATGTATGGGCTCTATGATATAATAAGGTACAAGTGTGATAGAAGGTCAGCAGGAAAAAAACTGTTGTGTGCTTCCAGCAGGAAGCTCAGTGTGCTGCAGCTGGGATGCAAACTGCAGTGCTTTAGTGGATTTGTCTCCTGGTTTAGCATTTTTCAGACAATTGTAGCCTCGCCAAGGACACTTTGCAGTTTGTGAACCTGGTTTGTGTTACGCTCTTAAAAAAAAAATCCTATGAATTTTGGCAATATTCAAAAGGGTAATGTTACTGTCCCACTAATGAATGGATAAACTGATACTCCTTATTGTAGTGACACGATTGCTTTAATTGCAATCAACAACAAGAACTTACTGTTAGAAAAAACATGTTTCATGTTATGTTTGAACGAGTTTCTTCTGAAAGTCCTCCTCAGCTATGATACCAGAGTCCTCAGCTACGTCTCACTTTGACTTCAGTGACCTGCTTTTTGTATCGTGGTCTCTCCACTTTCTCATCCAGGCTGAAAGATAAAATCAGTAACCTGCTTTAAAGCAGCGCTGGTAGAACAAAAGTGTTTATGTTGTCGTGCTGATTTGAAGGATGTTTGGGTCAACAGCAGATGAGTCAGAAAAGAGTGGAGTGGCTGCTGTTAAAATCACACAGGTTTTAAGCAAAACTGCTGCAGTACTTCCATAAACTTGAAAATTTACAGTTGTTGCACGATTGGAAACGTCGATGGTAGATAAGCTACTATCACTTCCTGAGTGTTATCACTGTTACTGCTTTGTCAAGTTGTTTTATTGGATCTCTGAGATACATCAGTTGTTAATGATTCTGCAGTTCATCGTGAGCACCGATCAGTTTTACCGTTTTCCAAAACTACATTTTGAGCTAGCAATTAATTTAAAACCCCTTTTTCTGCTTTGAACGTTATCTCTAGAATAGCGTTTTCCTTCTTGTTTATATTCTCCCTGTATTTATGGGGAACTGTCTCTCTTCTCTTTAAGCAATATCAGCTGTGCTCTTTTTCTTCTAGTTTCTTCTTGAATTTCAGGTGACATTAATAGTCAAGAATAATTAGTGCCATATTCCATGTTCTTGACAATGATCTATTGCAGAGTCTCTTCTTTTTATTGGTTAGTTCCTATTTCTGAAGCTTTTGGGCAGGTTTTTTTTCACCTTAGAGTTCATTCATTTCCTTCTGCACAAGGACATATATTAACGCTGGTTTTGGTGCTTGTACATAAAATCTGTAATGCAGGAATAATGCATGTTAAATAGTGTAAAGGAATAACTATGAAATGGGACGCTAAATGAACAAAGTGCACGTTCTAAGGTTTATTTAGAGACGTGGCTGCAACACTGAAGAGATTGGATATGCTTACAGTTGCCAGAAATAGCTTGCAGAGGAATCTGTAACTGCATATTAAATTTTGCTGATTCTCTGTTCATTTGCAGAGTCTAAATGGAGTCTGGCTTAACAAACAACGTCTGGATCCCTCAAAAGCCTATCCTATCGCTGAAGGAGACCGTATCCAGTTGGGAGTGCCTTTGGAAAACAAAGAGACTGCTGAATATGAGTATGAAGTAATTAAAGATGAATGGGAGAAAATCAGACCCTTCTTAGCCCAAAGGAATGACCTGGGGAAAGCTAAGAGTTCAAGAACTAAACGTAAATTTGTTTTGGAGGAATTGGAAACGTCTGGATCAGAAGGCCCTTCAAACTCCAGATCCAAAAAAGACCGAGTGTCCTGTGGAAATGAACCTTTGGGTAAATCGTGGGAAAGGGTAGAAGAGGCCAGACAGTTAACAGCAAAGACGGATGTCAAGCTGCCTTCTCCTGGACCAAGTGAGGAGGGTAGCGCTCTGGTGCGTAGTAGCCCTGCGCACTCCAAGAAAGCCGTGTCTGTCCTCCATAAGGGCCAGAAAGGCCCCAGTCTTGCACTGTCATGGACTGGCTTGGAAAAGCTGAGGAAAACTCTAGCAGATATAATGAAGTTAAAGATGCAGGTGCAGGAGAAGCAGACAGCTGTTCTGAGTGTGAAGCAGAAGCGCAGGAAGTGTGCTCAGAGGGATGCCCTGGCAATGGAGCAGGAGCTGCAGGAGTTGCAGGACCAGCTGCGCATGGAACAAGAGCATCATCAGCAGCAGGTGGAAGAGCTGGAGAGGACGTTATCTGAACAGCAGCAGAAGCTAGAGGTATAATGCTGGTAATCCTTTTGGCCCGTGTCTTTTCATTTTTGTGGAATGCCTAATATAAGACATTGATCCAAAATAAGTAGCCATACAGTAACATGAATAATGCTTGTGTGAATTACTCCTGTTAAAATTGTCATGGGAGTATTCCCCTTCCAGGTGTGTGTACCAAAGCCAGTTCAGAGACAGAAGGGATCGGGCTGCACGGGGAATTAGGAAAAAGGTGCAAAATATTTTTGTTTTTTTAATTTTTTTACGAACAGGTTCATTACAGCAAGATAGTAAAGCATTTCAGTGAGTAAAAAAGGTGTGGTGGTGGGTTTTTTAATTAAAAAGATTCAAAAGTTTCTGCTTGATCTCCTGTGATTACAGAGAGAACAAGCTGAAAAGTATTCAGCCTATAACTGTGCGTTGCTCCCTGGTATATGACTGAATTAATAGCCACTTTGCATGGCAAATCCATTCCCTTTCCAAGTAAGTGAATTACTGTGTGCCTTAATCCATGGAGGGAGACTTTTTTTCGCCCTCAAAAAAAATCTCCGATTCTCACAATCTCCAAGTGTCTTCAAGCTGTATTTGTAGTGGCTTTTTTAGATGACAAACTGAAGTCTTTTTGTTTGAGTTTCCTCAAACTTTGGTTTAAAGGAAGTAAGAATTCATCTTGGAGCGACATTTGTAATTTATCAGTTCCTTCCTTTAAAATCTGCTGCTAAAGGCAAGATGCCTGTATCAGAAGTACAGAAGGTCTGGAGTTGTGCCCTTAGGCACAAGGGGAGGTTCGGTCAGAGCTGTAGGTATGTCTGACCTCCGTAAATGTGCTCAGAGGTGGGAGTTCCAGCTTTTTCTCATGTTTGAGTTGTTGCTGCTGTGTGGTGCCTTTACAGCTAGAGTAATGTGGAGAGCTTCCAAGTATGTAACTGTAAACGGTATATCCAGCTTCACTCTTCACAGTACGTGATGGCTCTTCCTTCTGTCCTACGCGTGTATGGAGGGACAGCTCACTCTCCTGAAAAACAGTGTTGTTGCTTTAAGCATGTCCCCCAAGGACAGTGTGGAGAGGAGTAATTTTCTGTCCCTTGCTGTAAGTCCTTGTGGGTTTTTTTGTTTTTTTTTTTTTCCCTCAGGGAGTAAAGTGGCAACACGGGGAGGAGAATTTGAAGGAGCAATTGGCCCACGTCCTGCAAGAGGCAAGTAGTTATGAGTCTAGATCTTGTCTGTGTATCTCGGATGTTGAAGTCTTAGTGCTGCGGCCTCTTGGTAGAAGACCAGGACTTGGCCTGAGGTGTGAATTGGATGATCTGCATCTGCAGACCAAATTTCTGTCAGAAAGTGGCAGCCCTCCCTTTGTGGGAGTTGCTGTTTGCCAGCAAACAGAGTGAGAATATGCATTGGGACTGAAAGCACTGAGTAGCTGCAGCGACTTCTACTACTTTGGTCCTTGGGGCTGGTGGGCAAGCCCCAAGGCTTTGTTTTGGGGAAGTTGTTTTGGCAATTTTAGCCAGATGGAAAAAAAAACCCCAAAACATTCTTAATTAGGAATGTTTTTGAAAGAGAAGGAAAGGCCGTTTGGAAAAAGCCTAGGAAACCTAAGCATTTGGCCTTTACTTCTGGAAAGCTAATCTGAAAACAGCTTCAGGTAACCCTGTGTGGAGTGACAGGTTTTTGTGATCCTGATGTGTCAAATACCCCTTGATACTCAAAATGGTGACTGTAAAACCTAACTGAAAAGAGAGAGTAACCTGGGAGAAGGAATAAGAAGTGCTGCGACACTGAGAAGATCATAAATAATTGGGACGACATTCTGATTTTAAACTAAGGCTGAACTGCCTTAATGATCCAGTTTCTGTGGACAGATGTTGCTCTTTCAGGAGGAGATGAGGAGAAAAGAGTATGAACCTGATGATTACAGCCATGTATATTTAATAGGCTAGCTGATAACGGCACTCATAATTTCTGGGATGGTATTGTTACAGCATCATGCTTTGATGGAAGAACTGAGACGCAGTAAAAAAGATTTTGAGGAGATCATTCGAGCCAAGAATAAAGAACTGGAAGAAACCAAGGTAGGGGATAACTGAATTCTCTGTTTTATTCATAAATGAAACATGCTGCAGCAGAGGAAATGGTTTATTTAACATTTGTCTTGACTGTGCTTTGCAGCCTGTAGCGGAAATGTCTTTTGAGGTGGGAGCTGGCTGTAATTTCCAGGACTGGGAGAGGGTATACCTTGCCCTGTTCATGAGATCTCTCTGTCATAAAGCCCAGGGCACCCGAACTGAGAGTTGTGCAGAAGTGGTCCCGTTCCACCTTTTCTTTAAAAAAAAAAAGTGTGTTTGAAAAGTGAGGCGCTTCATGTTTAGTGAGAGTGGATTCAGGTACAGCTGCAGCATTCCAGCAGCCCTCCAGGGGAGCGCAGGACTTGAGCAGCGTGGAATTTGGGTGATGTGTGAGATTGGCCACATCTCTTCCTGCCCTTGACACAAGGTGATGAGTGGAAAAATAATTAAAGGGATCCTTTCCTGTGTCTTACTCTTGGAAATTACCACATTATCCACCTCTGGCTGTGTGCTTTATAGGTTTTTTATGTCGTCTTTGCAAGTGTGTTGTTGTTAAAGTATAGCTTCAACAGGAAGAATTTCTCTGTTATTTTTTGAAGATAGGACAGGTAGCTGGGAGCCCAATTTAACTCCAAACAAACAATTCATTGGGCAGTTAAATGCAAGTAAATGTTTTAAATTCTTATGTTGCTTTTGTAATATTTGAGGTATGATGAAAGGCTGAGAGAATTGGGCTTGTTCAGCCTGGGGAAGAGAAGGCTCCGGGGAGACCTTAGAGCACCTTCCAGTACCTGAAGGGGCTACAAGGAAGCTGGGGGGGACTTTTTACAAGGGCCTGTAGTGACAGGCCAAGGGGGAACGGGTTTAAATTGAAAGTGGGGAGGTTTAGGTTGGGTATCAGGAAGAAGTTCTTCCCGGAGAGGGTAGTGAAGCACTGGAACAGGTTGCCCAGAGGAGCTGTGGATGCCCCATCCCTGGAAGTGTTCAAGGCCAGGCTGGATGAGGCTTTGAGCAACCTGGTCTAGTGGAAGGTGTCCCTGCCCATGGCAGGAGAGTTGGAACTACATGGTCTTTAAGGTCCCTTCCAACCCAAACCATTCTGTTATGCTATCATTCTATGTATTTTGTCTGCTGAGTGTTTTGCTCTTTACATCAGACATCAAAAGAACTGTTTTGTTGGCTTAAGCCAAACTCATGCCAGGAAGAGGCTGAAAGAGATTCTGAAAAGATTGATCCAGCTGGTAGCTTCTTTAGGCTGAAGGAAATTTTGGTAACAGCTGCTGTTCTTGCTTGTAAGTTCTCTGCGGTGGGTGGGAATGTTCTCAGTACTGCTCTGACTACAAAAAGGAGAGGGGTTAGAGAGCTGGGTATGTAACAGTCCCAGACTTGATGTGTGGAGACTTGCAGTTGTATGATTTTCCACTTGTACTGCCTTCCCCGGCACATGCACTTCCTGCCAATATCATATTGAGTCAAACCTCCTTCTCTGTTGGTACGTGACCATATGTGCTTTCCCACTAGGAGGAGAAGGAAAAGGTGAGAGCCCAGAAGGAAGAGGTGTTGAATCAGATGAATGACGTGCTGGAGAATGAGTTGCAGTGCACAATCTGTTCGGAGCACTTCATCGAGGTATGTTTAAAGTGGTATGGGTTGGCCGGTAGAGCTGAGCCTTGAGAAGCTTTCCCTGGTTCTACTAAAGCCATAGTCAAGCTCATTTCTTTCCTTTGTTAGTTTAACAGTGGCAGCAGGCCCACAGTGAGTTGTGGGTAAGGGCCGATCCAGAAACCCTTTCTGTCTGCCCTAATTATTCTTCTGGGCAGCAAGTTCAGCTTTAACGTCCCTACCTGAATAGAGCTGAGTGCTTAATCCGAAGATTCGTGTAGGCTGGCAGCAGTTTGGGGTGTTTGTGAACTGGGGCTCTGAGGTGCTGCTGACAGCCTGCTTGGGGAAGAATTATTTTGGCAGTGGATCTTGCTGTAAGTTGACTAGGGTTGGAGTGCTTCGGGATTAGATACAGGAGGAGGTTAGTAAAGGAAGGGGCATGCAGTGTTCAGTCAAGTCCTGAACTGTTTCTGTGGTTCAGATAAACTTTTTCTTGAGAAAGAGACATCGGTCTGCTTTGATTCTAGAAGCAGTGGGCAGGCTATGCCTGAAATACAGACTGTTATTTCTGTTTGTGTTTTGCTAGAACTTTAGTTTCTAGAACATTAATTTCCACTACAGGAAACCTGATGTGTTAGACTTGTTATATCGACTGGTTTCTCAGTAATTTAAGATGCTATTCTGCAATATCTGAGTTTTTCCATAATTTATCCTTTTCAAAATGGGGAAACTTACAACAGAATTAGTTCTTTTTGTCTGTGTTTCTGACTTGCTGTGATCTACAGTCAATCCAGTAACCAGCTTGTAAAACTTGTCTGCACTCTGGCATGGGAGGGTTTGTGTGTGTAACCCCTGCAAACACTAAAGAAAGGGGATTTGGGCTTAAGTAGTGAAAATAGTTTATTAGTGCTCATGATTGATTACTGCTTCTATACTTACCCACCTCTGCAAATGGTGACATAAACATCCGGACAGGATCATATGGTATGCCGACTGGATGTGGCTCAATTCTCGGTCTCATCCTGGGCACCTGGCCAGCATTCCGGGTGGGATTGATAATGGGAACATAACAGTCTGCAAGTTCACAGGGTTGGTGCCAAAAAAGACTTATGTATGGTGTTTGTTACTCGCTATAAAAGCGGGAGACCCTCGGGCTGGCTCGGAAGCCTCACCTATGGGTGGACGCACCGCGTAGGACTTTCCCAGTTACTGCAGGGGCCAGCTGCTGAGGGGCTTCCCAGCTGATCTGTGAACCCAGATGATTGTTTTGAGGTGGTGTAATGGGGGATGCATACTTTTCTTAATCACTGTCTTACTTTACAGTAATGAACTGCCACATCACTATCCTGCTTATCTTTCCTTTGTAATTGGTGCATTGTTATTCTGCTTTTCTTTTTGGTTGTTACTGTGATATCTAGTAAAGCATATTAAGATTAAGATATTAAGCTGGAGGTTGTGTTTTTACTTGGAATCCCGCCATTCAACAGGACAGCTTCCCCCTGCCCTTCCCTCATAGGAAGTGTTCACCTACTATTTCTCTAACCTCAGTATTTTTTGCTCGACAGCGCTTGTGTGAGCATGGTCTAATACAGATCCTTCCCTCGCGTTCCCCAGGCCGTCACTCTGAACTGTGCGCACAGCTTCTGCTCCTACTGCATCAACGAGTGGACGAAACGTAAAGTGGAGTGCCCTATCTGCAGGCAGGAGATCAAATCAAAGACGCGCTCTCTGGTTCTGGACAACTGCATTGACAGGATGGTAGAAAAACTGGATGTGGAAATGAAAGAGCATCGCCTGACCCTTATCAGAGAGCGGAAAGGTGAGAGGTGGGTGGATGTGGCATGATAAGTACAATCTCTCCTTCTGCCTGTTTTGTACGCTTTCTTTGGCACCTATATACCAAGGAGATGCTTGGGAAATGCAGCAGAAACACTAGAAAATTAATTTTACGGGTATGTGGTGTAACTAGCTTTACTGTGCAGTAAAATAAAACTTATTACTAAGTCTGGAAAAACTCGTCCCTATGAACTGCCCAGTTGAGCAGGATAACTTCATCATATTAAAGTTAGGCTGTTTCAGAGAGATCACAAAAGAAAAGCAAAACTATATAGAATGGGCTTTGAAAAATTTACTGGGCACTACCTCATTGGAAAAATCAGTTGAGCACACAGAAGAGAATTCATGCAGGAAACCTCTGAAGTAAGGAAGCGTATGGCTGAACTGGCAGTTGCTTTGCCTTGTTAACATTTATGGACTTGACCAGGGTGGCTTGAACACGTAATCTCTTGCCTCGTTGTAGCTAAAAGACTGTATGACAGTGACAGCTTTAAGTAAAACTCCAGTATGGGGTATTCCTATTCTGCTTCCCTCTTCCAAATTTGTTTCTAGAGCACTTGACAGTGGTATCTAGGTGCTGAAACACAGAAATCTTCTTGTGTTACCCCTTAACAAGTTTCTGTTGCTGCGTTCCCTTAAGGAAATGTCCTGTTTTCCCCTCATAGAGGTGAATGCACAATCCTTCATTTTGCAATGGGTCAAGCCTCTTACCTAATGAAAGGCGTTTTTGAGACATTTCAGATTCTCCACGGTGACACAGAATGACATTGCTGAGCTGTGTTAGTTCAAATCTGAAATGATCAGTCATTTAACCAACTTGGGCCGATTCCCTCAGGAAATGCCACATCGCTCGGAGGCTGCCCAGCTGGGCTTTGTGAAGTGTGCATTCACCTCTGCAGAACTGACAGCGGCTCTTGTGTTACACGCGTGTCTGCGGAGTATGCCGTGGCACTACTGAAGTGTCTTGTCTGGCAGCTAATGGGGGTGGGATGAAGTGGTGTCCTTGATGGAGCCCACTTCTTTCCCATGTGGTAAACCAATGGTCTTCATGCCTGTGTGAACGCAAAGAAGATAAGGTCATAGTCTGCCTTCACGTGTCACAGATGCTGTAATTATATAAATGATGATTAGTAGGAAATAATTTAGCTTCACCACAACACACTTCAGGAGGAAGTGTGCTGTTTTTCTTCAGTGATGGAAATGTGTTGAGATGGAGGTAACCATGTGTCTGGTTTAACAGGAATTCCTAAGAAGAAATTGGCTGAAAGAGAAATGATGGTGGAAGTGGCACTTGGGAATCCCAGTTGGAGCTTCCCAAGAAGCCTTTCCAAGAATCTTAGTAGGACAGGCACCAACAGGACAGCTTGTACTCTTGAACATTGGAGGTTTTGGTGGAGCCATAAGTGTCCTGAGTGACTGCTGATTGCTTGAGGGCTCCTTACCACGTTTGTTCCTTCCCTCCTTCCTACCTGGCAAAGCAGTGTAACAGCCACTCCATTGCCAGTGGCATGCCAGTGAAGGGATGGAGAATGTATCCTCCTCATCTATCTTAACAGGAAAAGTGCTATCTTAACAGGAAAAAGTGTGTAGGAAGCTTAAGAAAACGAACAAACAAAAAGCCCTTTGATCTCTTAATGCTGAAAATTGAAAAGAAAAAGGCGTGTGCCCTGCAGCTTGAAACACCTATTGCAAACTGCCAGTGAGAGGCTGTAAGTTTCAAAGAGGACTAGTAGTACAGCAGCATTTGTGGGTACAGTGGTCTCTGCTAACTTTTTTCTCTGTGTGTTTCGAATGCAGAGAAACAGAGTGTGTTGGTGAGCCCAGCCGCGGACAATGACACCAGTGTCGTTTCTTCCATCTATTCCAACTTGAGCAGTTGTGACAGCGAGGACTCTGAGGAGGATTCTTACTATTAGGAAAGCTACCACGTTACCTAAACACTGTTCCTGCAGACTCGTTTGCCTGTGTGCTGCCCAGAACCGACCTCACGGTGCTTGTTTGACTACTGCCAGATGAGTGGACTGGGCAGGAAAGATTCCATGAAGAGGCTGGAGCTGAGAACTAGCAGCATTCGGAAGAAGGACCTTATTTTTTAAATGAATGTACAGAAGCTTGATCTCTGAAACAAAACTGGGATTGTGAGAGAACAAACTGCTGTTGTGCTTAGATGGTTGACATGCAAAACCTAGGCTTCCACGATCGCTTGTGACCCGTTTGGTGTAATGTAATCGTTTGTATGCATTGCTGCCCGTAGCCGGTGACACGTTTACGTATGTACTTCAGCTTCCCCGATTTTGGGCAGCAGAGGGCGTGGCCCAAGCTGGTTGAGAACTGGCTATTCCCTACCAGTAGGCAGGAAAAAGTGCCAGCGTGTGTTTTCCTTTTGAATTTCATATGCAGATAGAGTTGTCCCGTGCCTCTGGCAGTAAAGGTAACAAAGGGTGGGTTATGGACCCTCTCAGCCTTAAGTGCTTAAAAATGCGCTGTAAGCTGAGCTGCTGGCCATCCATGTGCTCTGTTGATGTTACTCACTTTCTGTTAGACAGGGGCAGAGAAGATTTAAATCTTCCAGAATTCCTTAGCTAGTGCTCTTCTTTGTACAGCGTCTTTGGTTGGTTCCCTCGTCAGGCTTTTGTATAAAGGATTTTTGAATTGGGAAGCAGCGTGTCCAGAAGTTACTATCAGTGGCTTCAGAAACATATGTGGTTCTTCTCAGAAGCAGAGAGGAACCTCTGTCTCTGAAGTGCTACTGTCTGAATTAGTGAAATGCCTGTTGGCAGGGTAGGAAAGCAGCATCTGTAGGCAACCACAAGGCACAAAAGGAAGCTTTTCGTTTTATTGTTTACAAAACATTGCTGTTGAGCCGTGGGTTGTACTACCCTCACAGCAAAACATTCTCCCCTAAGAGGCTGAGGAGGTCTTGCCTCATCCTGCCAAGAATTTGTCAAGGAATTCATAGTTCCGTTCTCAGTGGCATATGCTTTTGACTTCGCTGGTACGTGGAAAGGACTGGTTTACACTAAGGAAAGGATGGGGGAAGCCCTTGTCTGTAATATTTCTTTGGCAATTTGTATGTACTTTCATGTTTCTATGTTTATTTTGTTTAAGACTGACAATACAAATCCATTTCTGCATTAGTCTTCACTGGTGCAACTACTGAGATGTCTTTCTCTTAGTTGTCTTTGATTTTTTTTTTTTAAAGAAACCTCATTGAAATGACTTTGCTTCATGTTTTGATTGCTGTGAGCAGTGTGACTGTTTTAAAGTTATTTGAAACACTTGTTTATGCAGGAATTGATAGAAGACAACCCAACTCTTCAAGTCTGTGGCTACCCTAAAGGTAATTTAGTAGATGCAGTCATACCTCCGATCTTTTTCCACTGAAGAAAGATCCCATTAAAAAGGTGCACGAATGATGATGCTGTCCTTAAGGAAGCAGTGCATTCTGACAGACTAGATTGTCAGGACTTGGACAGGGAAGTAGCTCTGATCTGTGGGCCAGGCAACTTTCCTACAATCTTAGCATAGTTTGTCTTGTGAAGGAGCCATTGTATCTTGAGTTTTCCTCTTTGCCTTTTAATGTTCATTTTCTGCACGGGCTCTTGAAATTTCTTCTGTGAATGTACACTCTCTAGGATGTCTGAGAGAAGAGGGTTCCTCAAAACGCTTGTGAACTGGGATGACATTGGAACAGGCATTCCTCATGAAGAGGACTAGGAGGAGAATACTCCAGGTACCAGGACTGCAGATTCTTCCGCTGCGTCTCTCTTCCATGTTGCTGCGCTTTTTTTTGCTCATCTCATTTTGCTAACTAGTTTATTATGCTGGTGTTTATGCAACTGGAGAGAACGATAATGTTCTCCTAGTAACAGAGCAGTTCGTCGGTGTGCTCTCTGAGCCTGTCCCCTTTTCACTACAGTATGAAGAACGTGAGCCATATGCCAAACCTTTTCCACTGTCACCAGCAGGTGTGTCCTGTGTAAAGGTCCAGGGAGAGAGGTTAAGCAATAATACTGTTCGCTCGCAAAAGCATTTCACTAGCAAAAGCAGACCTCTCCTCCCAGTTCAGCAAGTTCCCCAGTAAGACTGTCAGATACAGAGCCGATGATTAGACCTAAGAAGTGTCAGGTGATGTTCCAACTGTTGAGCTTCTGGAAAAGATGCTCATATTTCTACTACTGTGTTCTTCTGAGGCCTGGATCCTTCTGCTTGGTTATACATCTGAACATCCCCTTGCAGATGTCATGCCCTGAAGTCTTACCTCTCTTGGGATAGCATCAAGCACTTCCAGCCTGGCATCCAGGATTTAGGTTCCAACTCTGAGCTAGTCACAGTCCACACGCAGCAGGCTTGCTGCAGGGAAGCTGGGAGATAGCTGCCGTGTGGTGTGATAACCAAACGCTTTCAGAGCAATATGTTGTTTACCAGCACCAGCAGACACAGCTGGGAAGGAGTGCTAGTGGATTACGGAACGGGCCCATCAGCAGGGGGACGGTGCACTGTAAAATCCTGCCAATGCGTCAGTCTGATAAATGCTTTTCTCTTGCACGTGAAATCCTAGTGAGCCTTAGCAACAGCTGTCATTTAACTTTGCAGAACGTGTATCGGGCAATTTAATAATCCAACTGTCGTGTGTTGATCTTCCTCCCCCACATTTAAGTGTGTTTTTTCCAAAGATCTGCCCTGACTAGTCCGTGTTTTGCTTCCTGCTTATATTTGGTTTTCCCTCCTGCTAGTGCCTTTTGCCGTAAATTCACGTCTTTAGACACATACCTTACAGAAGGTTGATAACCATAAACTGCGCTTCCCAAGTAAGAGATTCCTGTCCCTTGGAGTGACCGTGGTAGTTTTGGTTTTCAAGATTCAGCGCTCCTGCCCACCCCTGGGTTTCAAGCTTAACGTGCAGTACAAGACAGCTCAATTAGTGCTCAAAATCATCCCAAATCTGTAGCTACAGACGTGCATTAGGCTTTTACCGTGTGAAAAGCTCTATTGCTGCCGGCCTCACAAACCTGCTCTGACCCGCTCCAGCAGCGGAGCCACAGTTGGTGAAGGGTGAGCAGGCGGCAGGCTTCCCGGTAGGCAGTTTCCCGGGAAACCTGCGCTGCCCGTAGGAGCAATGCCGGTTCCCGGCGGTGTAGGGCCCCAGGCAGGCGGCGGGTCAGCGCCAAGGCCGGGTGCCGGCGGGCGGGTCTCCTTCAGAAACAAGAGAAAGAGCTGATTTTCTTAGAAAGCGCCACTTTTAAGGCAGTGGCTAAATCACTTGTGCGTTAACGCACATTACGTGTACATCTTTATGCACAATATACTTACAAAAATGATATTTACTATATAATTTCCATACAATTCCACCCAT